TCGCCGAAGTCAAGGCAGCATCGCCGCTGAGCGGCGATCCCTCTGCAATTTTTGATGGCCAAGAACCGGGTTGTTAGCATCTTCATGAAAAGTGTTTCTCAACCTCTTTGAATTTTTCAGATTCAAGCTTCACGTTCGTTTAAATCCGACGCTTAGCTTGCGGTGGGGTGTTAAGGATATTTAGTAATAAATTATAGTTTACCATATATATTATATTTGATATTTTATTATAAGGCAAATATCTAATATTTGCCTTATTATCATAGGTATCTTTCCATTTATTGTTATTTCCATTTATTACTATTTCCATATCCTTGTAATTCATTTGATTATAAATAAGATAACTTTCACACCATTTAGGTGTGGTGGATTAATCAAACATTCACATGGTATCAGAGCCCTCTCGGTTTAACAACCCCGATCCTTTCTTTTCAATGGCTTTTGAATCCTCTAATCTTCTTCTCCACCACCCCTGCTGGTTTTGACGCCGCAGGGGCAGTCTTCATGGCTGCCGTAGTCGGAGCCGATTGATTACTCTTCGGCTCCACCCTATTGACCTCCAAATCACCTTTCGTCATACTCTGTACATACAACCTCACCTTTTCCAACCCAATCGGTTTTCCCCTTGGCCAATATAGTCTCTCTCATTTTCTTCCCAATCAACCTTCATCCTTCACATAAACCCTAACCTAAACCTATCAATCTTTTGCAGAGATTTACCTTCGGAATCTGGGTGCCGCACTGGCCTATTCGCCAACCAAGTTGCCGCCGCCCTTCCTGCCAAAATTGGCTTCTTCGCCCGATGAGGCGACTCTTCCGACTGCCCTTCTCGCCAAAATTGGCTCCTTCGCCCAATGTGGCGACTCTTCCGGCTTCAACATTGTCTTTGTCCCTTGCTCTAGGTTTCCCCTTCTACTTCTTGGGGTTAGAAATATTCTCACCAGAGCCAAGGCAGCATCGTCGCTAAGCGACAATCCCTCTTCATGGGTTAGACATATTCTCGCCGAAGCCAAGGCAGCATCGCCGCTGAGCGGCGATCCCTCTGCAATTTTTGATGGCCAAGAACCGGGTTGTTAGCATCTTCATGAAAAGTGTTTCTCAACCTCTTTGAATTTTTCAGATTCAAGCTTCACGTTCGTTTAAATCCGACGCTTAGCTTGCGGTGGGGTGTTAAGGATATTTAGTAATAAATTATAGTTTACCATATATATTATATTTGATATTTTATTATAAGGCAAATATCTAATATTTGCCTTATTATCATAGGTATCTTTCCATTTATTGTTATTTCCATTTATTACTATTTCCATATCCTTGTAATTCATTTGATTATAAATAAGATAACTTTCACACCATTTAGGTGTGGTGGATTAATCAAACATTCACATGGTATCAGAGCCCTCTCGGTTTAACAACCCCGATCCTTTCTTTTCAATGGCTTTTGAATCCTCTAATCTTCTTCTCCACCACCCCTGCTGGTTTTGACGCCGCAGGGGCAGTCTTCATGGCTGCCGTAGTCGGAGCCGATTGATTACTCTTCGGCTCCACCCTATTGACCTCCAAATCACCTTTCGTCATACTCTGTACATATAACCTCACCTTTTCCAACCCAATCGGTTTTCCCCTTGGCCAATATAGTCTCTCTCATTTTCTTCCCAATCAACCTTCATCCTTCACATAAACCCTAACCTAAACCTATCAACCTTTTGCAGAGATTTACCTTCGGAATCTGGGTGCCGCACTGGCCTATTCGCCAACCAAGTTGCCGCCGCCCTTCCTGCCAAAATTGGCTTCTTCGCCCGATGAGGCGACTCTTCCGACTGCCCTTCTCGCCAAAATTGGCTCCTTCGCCCAATGTGGCGACTCTTCGGCTTCAACATTGTCTTTGTCCCTTGCTCTAGGTTTCCCCTTCTACTTCTTGGGGTTAGAAATATTCTCACCAGAGCCAAGGCAGCATCGTCGCTAAGCGACAATCCCTCTTCATGGGTTAGACATATTCTCGCCGAAGCCAAGGCAGCATCGCCGCTGAGCGGCGATCCCTCTGCAATTTTTGATGGCCAAGAACCGGGTTGTTAGCATCTTCATGAAAAGTGTTTCTCAACCTCTTTGAATTTTTCAGATTCAAGCTTCACGTTCGTTTAAATCCGACGCTTAGCTTGCGGTGGGGTGTTAAGGATATTTAGTAATAAATTATAGTTTACCATATATATTATATTTGATATTTTATTATAAGGCAAATATCTAATATTTGCCTTATTATCATAGGTATCTTTCCATTTATTGTTATTTCCATTTATTACTATTTCCATATCCTTGTAATTCATTTGATTATAAATAAGATAACTTTCACACCATTTAGGTGTGGTGGATTAATCAAACATTCACATGGTATCAGAGCCCTCTCGGTTTAACAACCCCGATCCTTTCTTTTCAATGGCTTTTGAATCCTCTAATCTTCTTCTCCACCACCCCTGCTGGTTTTGACGCCGCAGGGGCAGTCTTCATGGCTGCCGTAGTCGGAGCCGATTGATTACTCTTCGGCTCCACCCTATTGACCTCCAAATCACCTTTCGTCATACTCTGTACATACAACCTCACCTTTTCCAACCCAATCGGTTTTCCCCTTGGCCAATATAGTCTCTCTCATTTTCTTCCCAATCAACCTTCATCCTTCACATAAACCCTAACCTAAACCTATCAACCTTTTGCAGAGATTTACCTTCGGAATCTGGGTGCCGCACTGGCCTATTCGCCAACCAAGTTGCCGCCGCCCTTCCTGCCAAAATTGGCTTCTTCGCCCGATGAGGCGACTCTTCCGACTGCCCTTCTCGCCAAAATTGGCTCCTTCGCCCAATGTGGCGACTCTTCCGGCTTCAACATTGTCTTTGTCCCTTGCTCTAGGTTTCCCCTTCTACTTCTTGGGGTTAGAAATATTCTCACCAGAGCCAAGGCAGCATCGTCGCTAAGCGACAATCCCTCTTCATGGGTTAGACATATTCTCGCCGAAGCCAAGGCAGCATCGCCGCTGAGCGGCGATCCCTCTGCAATTTTTGATGGCCAAGAACCGGGTTGTTAGCATCTTCATGAAAAGTGTTTCTCAACCTCTTTGAATTTTTCAGATTCAAGCTTCACGTTCGTTTAAATCCGACGCTTAGCTTGCGGTGGGGTGTTAAGGATATTTAGTAATAAATTATAGTTTACCATATATATTATATTTGATATTTTATTATAAGGCAAATATCTAATATTTGCCTTATTATCATAGGTATCTTTCCATTTATTGTTATTTCCATTTATTACTATTTCCATATCCTTGTAATTCATTTGATTATAAATAAGATAACTTTCACACCATTTAGGTGTGGTGGATTAATCAAACATTCACATGGTATCAGAGCCCTCTCGGTTTAACAACCCCGATCCTTTCTTTTCAATGGCTTTTGAATCCTCTAATCTTCTTCTCCACCACCCCTGCTGGTTTTGACGCCGCAGGGGCAGTCTTCATGGCTGCCGTAGTCGGAGCCGATTGATTACTCTTCGGCTCCACCCTATTGACCTCCAAATCACCTTTCGTCATACTCTGTACATATAACCTCACCTTTTCCAACCCAATCTATTTTCCCCTTGGCCAATATAGTCTCTCTCATTTTCTTCCCAATCAACCTTCATCCTTCACATAAACCCTAACCTAAACCTATCAACCTTTTGCAGAGATTTACCTTCGGAATCTGGGTGCCGCACTGGCCTATTCGCCAACCAAGTTGCCGCCGCCCTTCCTGCCAAAATTGGCTTCTTCGCCCGATGAGGCGACTCTTCCGACTGCCCTTCTCGCCAAAATTGGCTCCTTCGCCCAATGTGGCGACTCTTCCGGCTTCAACATTGTCTTTGTCCCTTGCTCTAGGTTTCCCCTTCTACTTCTTGGGGTTAGAAATATTCTCACCAGAGCCAAGGCAGCATCGTCGCTAAGCGACAATCCCTCTTCATGGGTTAGACATATTCTCGCCGAAGCCAAGGCAGCATCGCCGCTGAGCGGCGATCCCTCTGCAATTTTTGATGGCCAAGAACCGGGTTGTTAGCATCTTCATGAAAAGTGTTTCTCAACCTCTTTGAATTTTTCAGATTCAAGCTTCACGTTCGTTTAAATCCGACGCTTAGCTTGCGGTGGGGTGTTAAGGATATTTAGTAATAAATTATAGTTTACCATATATATTATATTTGATATTTTATTATAAGGCAAATATCTAATATTTGCCTTATTATCATAGGTATCTTTCCATTTATTGTTATTTCCATTTATTACTATTTCCATATCTTTGTAATTCATTTGATTATAAATAAGATAACTTTCACACCATTTAGGTGTGGTGGATTAATCAAACATTAACATGGTATCAGAGCCCTTTCGGTTTAACAACCCTGATCCTTTCTTTTCAATGGCTTTTGAATTCTCTAATCTTCTTCTCCACCACCCCTGCTGGTTTTGACACCGCAGGGGCAGTCTTCATGGCTGCCGTAGTCGGAGCCGATTGATTACTCTTCGGCTCCGCCCTATTGACCTCCAAATCACCTTTCGTCATACTCTGTACATATAACCTCACCTTTTCCAACCAAATCGGTTTTCCCCTTGGCCAATATAGTCTCTCTCATTTTCTTCCCAATCAACCTTCATCCTTCACATAAACCTTAACCTAAACCTATCAATCTTTTGCAGAGATTTACCTTCGGAATCTGGGTGCCGCACTGGCCTATTCGCCAACCAAGTTGCCGCCGCCCTTCCTGCCAAAATTGGCTTCTTCGCCCGATGAGGCGACTCTTCCGACTGCCCTTCTCGCCAAAATTGGCTCCTTCGCCCAATGTGGCGACTCTTCGGCTTCAACATTGTCTTTGTCCCTTGCTCTAGGTTTCCCCTTCTACTTCTTGGGGTTAGAAATATTCTCACCAGAGCCAAGGCAGCATCGTCGCTAAGCGACAATCCCTCTTCATGGGTTAGACATATTCTCGCCGAAGTCAAGGCAGCATTGCCGCTGAGCGGCGATTCCTCTGCAATTTTCGATGGCCAAGAAAGTGTTTCTCTACGCCTCCTCTGAACCAGGTTGTTGACTTATTCAAGAAAAGTGTTTCTCAACCTCTTTGAATTTTTCAGATTCAAGCTTCACGTTCGTTTAAATCCGACGCTTAGCTTGCGGTGGGGTGTTAAGGATATTTAGTAATAAATTATAGTTTACCATATATATTATATTTGATATTTTATTATAAGGCAAATATCTAATATTTGCTTTATTATCATAGGTATCTTTCCATTTATTGTTATTTCTATTTATTACTATTTCCATATCTTTGTAATTCATTTGATTATAAATAAGATAACTTTCACACCATTTAGGTGTGGTGGATTAATCAAACATTCACAAGGGGTATTTAGAGGGTAGTCAATCTATTCCTAAAATTTCTAACCTTCCTTCTAAAATACTTAAACATTTTCCTAAATCATTTTTCTAAATTTATTTTTAAAATCCTAAATCATAAATATAATTACTCATACAATGATTGGGCTTAACCCTATTGGGCTAGTGATGACATTTTAACACTCCCCTTAGCACTAGTCATAATTCGTTGCACCATGTTGAGCTGACAACGAAAACTCATATGTTTGCCAATATTTAGTCATTTTGTAAACAAGTCTGCCACTTGATCATCTGTCTTGATCTGCTTCATCTCGATTTCTTCCTTCAAGTCTTTCTCTCTAATGAAATGGTAGTGTACCTCCCCATACTTTGTTCTAGCATGAAGCATCGGATTTTCTGTTAGATGAATTGCAGATTGGTTGTCGCAATGAAGTGGTATTGGATAATCATTTTTTGGTGCCAATCTTCCATCAAGAGTTTCAACAATATACTTTCCTGAGCTGCTTCAGTTGCTACTTTGTACTCTGTTTCTTTGATACTTGACCTTTGAGAATTGTGATACCGTTTGACATATCTCAAGGTCTGTCGGGCCGCATCCAAATGAGGCTTCTTTAGACTTCGCATATACTGACTAATGACCCCAACTTCATTTTCGAATCCATTTGGTTGGTTCATGTAGATCTCTTGGTCCAATTCTCCATGCAAGAAAATATTCTTTATATCCATCTGCCAAAATTTCCATTCTTTATTAACAAGTGCTGGAGGAACCTGTATGATAGTGATCTTCGCCACTGGACTAAACATTTCATCATAGTCTAGTCCATATTGTTGACAAAACCCTCGAGCTACAGGTCGAGTCTTGTATTTTGATTGATCCATCCGAGAGACACGTTATTTCGTAAGCCCACTTGCAAGAGATGAGTTTGTTATCTCTTGGTCTTGGCATTGATTCCCAAGTTTGATTTTGTTACAAGGCTATAATTTCTTCCTCCATCGCTTTTTGCCAAGTTGAGTTTTGTGATGCTTCTTCATATGTCTCCGGCTCATGAACTTCGTCTTCTACTGCGTTGGCATACTTTGGATTTGGCTTTAGGATTATTTCTGAATGTCTGAGTTGTTGAGGTGTCATTTCATTTTCACTAGGTTTGCTTGGTTGAGTCACTTCTTGCTCACCAACACTAGTGTCACTTGAATTTTCAGGCACATCAGCACTTAAGCAAATGTGTACAGTTTGCTCCCCCATCTTCTGTGGAAGAATTTCTTCAATTTGCTCAAGGTTTGGTAATACTTCCCTCTCTGAGGGCCACTCATCTTCCATTGCACCACTTTGATCATCAATCATGTGGTTTGAACATCCTAAATCAATGATCCAATAATTCTCATAATGGTCTCCCATTATCGCCATGAGTACTAGCTCATCTTCTTCTATGGCATAGAGTACCTCTGCATCCCATTCCTCCTCCATCTCCATGTTGGAGGATGCCACATTGCTTTCAACCGAATTTTTCTTGGACCAACAATCTTTGAACATGTGGCCCTTCTTCCCACAATTGTAGCAGATGCCTTCAAATCTCTTCCCTTGAGAGTTATTCTAATCGTTCTCCTGAGCTCTTTCTGGTTGTACAGTTCTTTGGTGACTTCTTCTTTTGTCACCATTGTATCCACGTTTGGGAGACGACTTATTATTGCTTCGACTTTCACTTGTGTAGAGTGCTTCTTCTTCACCCTTCAATGTGATGCCTCCTATTTGTTTAGCCATGGCTTCTTGGCTGGCTAACAAGTTTTCGAACTCTACAAGTGATAGTTGAGTGAACCATCCTTGTACAACAATAATGAAGCTTCGATATTCTGGTCGCAATCCATGGATTATGATCCTCTTCATTCAAGATTCTACAATAGCGGACTTCGGGTCTAGTTCAGTAATCTCCCAACAAATTGAGTGAACCATCCATGGATTGTGAAAATACTGAGCAATCTTCATGTCACATTGTAAAATTGACAACAACTCATTCTCCAAAAGTTGTAGCCTCATATTATTCTTCTTCGAGAACAATATCATGAAAGTGTCTCATGCTTCTTTCGGTGTCTTGTCATCCAAAATATGCTCTAACATCTCTTCTCCGATTGTGGTCTTCAAGGAAAACATTGTTTTGCCTGCTTTGATTCTCCATTTGTGCAAGACGCCGTTAGAATCATCCTCTGGCAGCGTAGTTTTGCACTCGCCAACGATCTCCTAAAGATCACGTCCTTGTAAATAGGACATCATGCATGTTGCCCACGTGTTGTAGTTTGTTATTGAGTTTCTTGATTCCTCCAATGATTTGGAAATCACCCATCGTGTTAGCTATACCTCAGTAATACCAAACAAGCTCTTTCGACACAAGACTTGCAGAGTCATAGACTATTCACGACACAAAAGAAACGCACTCACTACTAATCTCAAAAAATCGTTTCTGATGTGGAAAATCAGACAGAGCTGCAACCACAGAGCATACTAAGAATTCCAAGAGACCAGATAACCTACACTAACCTCGCTCTGATACCAGATTGTTGAACACAACTCTCTGTGGGAAACAATCACACACTTTATTAAGACCCATCGAGAAGAAATTTACAAGACACTCGGTAGAAACTACTGCTTTGTATTTCTTGAGATTTCTTGTGATGATGAAATAAAAAGGATGGAGAGTATTTATACTAGAGGGTAGTCAACCTATCCCTAAAATTTCTAAACTTTTTTCCTAAAATACTTAAATCATTTTTCTAAATTTATTCCAAAAATCCTTAAATTATTTTCCTAAATTTATTTCTAAAATCCTAAATCCTAAATATAATTACTCTATTGAGCTTAACCGTATTGGACTAGTGATGACATTTTAATAGCCTCACCACCCAAGCTTGAAATATTTCCATCTCAAGTGCTCAGCCCACGACTTAACCGCACACAAGCCCAACTTGGTTGGTCACTTGTTAGTTGTCACAATCACATTCTTGTGGCAGTAGAACAACAATTGTGCAACACTTCTAACCTAGTGAGCAAGTCAATCATATGAAAATTGTAAGTCACGAATAATTCAGACGTATGATCGAGTCTCAGTCATGTTTGAGAGAAAGTATTTCAGAAAACGTGTGCCAAAAAATGCAATAAATTTTTTTTGTAATAAAGAAATATTATAGGCTAAATACAAATAGGCAACCATCACGATTTGATAGCACATAACCTAGGTAGGGAGAATTGACGATTAGCCACAACCCTATAATACATTTTTGTTAGGATCGCACAACAACGCACACACTCGATGGTTTCATGTTGTATTATTTCCTTCTTCTTTTCTGTAAGAGTATGATGTTTTGACGAAATCATGGCTATGCCTGACAGACATGAAATGCCTCAAAATGTAGTACACTAAAATGCTGATTAGTTGTCAAATTCTCCGTACTCGAAAAGTTGAATTTGTGGCTATTCTATTACATTAAATTTGATTAGACACAACCCTATAATACATTTTGGGGGGCATTCTAGCCTTGACTGATATAGAAATGATTTTGGTGAATAGTCATGCACCCCATGTTATACCATAGAAATAGAAAAGACGTAACTATACATGAAAGTTAGTAAAAGGGGTTTGGAGCGGGCATGTGGCCATGGACGACACGTCCTAGACATACATGATTGTGTCATCCTCCCCATTTAATTGGTTGATGTCCCTATAAATTGACTCTTCACAAATTTAGCGATATAGAATGAGGTTGATTTCAAGTCTCCTGTGACATCCTCCCCACTCAATTGGTTGATGTCCCTATCGACTGACTCTTCACAAACTCAACGATATAGGGTGAGGTTAATTTCAGGTCTCCTGTGACTTTCTCCTCCACTTAATTAGTTGACAGTCCCTTATCAACTGACTCTTCACAAACTTAGGAATATAGGATGAGGTTGATTCCAGGTCTATTGACGGGCTTTCAACTGATATATGCTTTGAGCTGATATATGCTTTGAGGAGTCTCTGCCAATATGTCGGGAACTGTTGAAAATCACTTCTCATTCCTCGACTCTACGTCCCTTTCTCTATCAGAATTTCTCTACTTTTTTCGCTGCTTAGTGTGTTCTTGGTTAGGATAGTAACGTTTCAAGTTACTGACGTCGACAATAGGGTAAGTCCGCATCCATGGGAGCAATTGAATTCTATATAATCATTATATGTTGAAATGTAAGTTATTATGTAAGTACATCCATGAACATATTATGAGTCATGATCATGAGATTCTAGTAGAATAGTAAAGTTGACCGTGCATGTATGTGATTCATGTCATAATATGGTGCTATGATACTACTCTTACGGATAGAAATGCTAGCCATGCAAGAAATTATGATATTACATGAATAGGCATATGACAATATGTCACGAGTTATTTTATGTATTCTTGTTTGATGGTACCTCATGCATACATATGTTTACGAGCTATGATAATTAGAGGATATGAAGAGGTGGTGATATGGCCCTTCGTGTTTTTGTAACAATGTGATTTTCTGTTTAAACTTGATAATATGGTCACGAGAGAGAGAGTGACGATATGACCCTCCTAAATTTTAGTGGCGGTATGACGGCTCTATGCATAACATGCTCGTATGTATTTGTATCTTTCGACCTTACTAATGGTGTCATTTACTGGATATTTTTATTTATAATATTTAACCTCTTTAAAAAATGTTTTATTTTTTAGGTAAGAATAAGTGCAAGCAGGGTGGATGACGACGTCGGTTGCAAAGCCATGAAAATCATATGAATTTTAGATTTCCCGTATTTTCTTTTCTATCGAACCTTTGAACTAAAGAGTTTGTGTTTCATTTTGAAGAACTTGTTTAGTTTATTTGCCTCAGACTTGTTCTAAAAAAGTCGAGACATTTCAAATTGTTTGAGTCGATTCCATGATTATAAGTTCATTCCATACCAGGCTAGATCGGAATAAGGTCCGTCCTGGTGGGGAAGTTATAGACACCTTTCCGTACTTGTAAAACGTTATTTCTCCTCTAAATGTTAGAACTATGTTATATTAACTTTTTAAATGTGATGTTTTCTTTAGGATTATGAACGAACCAAGTGTTTTGAATAAATAAGTTTCATGCTCTAAAAAGAAAACTATAAATATTTTTTTAAATAAATGTCAGGCATGCATGTAATAGTGACACTAAAGTTTATAGATCGATGGAGGACAGCGGGTGAAGCTTTCGAGTTGAGGAAAAGAACGACCTCATTGCGTTACTCTTGACCACTAAGTATCTCATCGTCTCTAGTAGCAAGGGAGGGACGAACGAACGACGATCGAAAAATGGGAAGAACAACATTGGAGTATGTTATGGGAAGAGAGAAAAAATGGAAAGAATTCGGGCAATCGGGTGAAGAAGAAAGGATCCACGAGTCGATGTCGGGTTGGATACTCATATCCATCTCTAGCAGCCCACGACCCGTAGCCCGTACGCAGCTTATGCCCGCAATTCATTTCAGTCCAACAGACATGCATGACCTAGCTAGTCACGACCTACATGTAGCTTACGACCCAGTAGACGCAACTCGCGCGCTCGAGAACACGACCCAACCTGTCCGACAACTCGCGCGCACCTCTAGCCTCCTTACACGTGAATGACGTGTCTCCCTACCGACTCACTCAGCTCGATACCGGTTTCCACGTTTTTTACCCTCCCAGAGCTAATTTTGACCTTATTAAAAGAATTTAAGGCGGTATAATTCTCATTTTCTCAATTTAACTTCAATTAAGTTAGGAAATTAGAATTTCTTGAATGAAGTGCCTTGACACAAGTGGAAACAAATTCAAGGGACGACGACGACGAGTCGATTCCAAATTAAATAGAAACTTTGGCTAAGGCCAACTAAGTAAGTGACTCTATTATCAGCCTACTCGGAAGAGTTTTCTTATGTATAATAACACATGCCCAATGCCTCCTACACGTGTCATACGTTTGATATGATTATTATGTTTGATGATAAAATATGTTAGGATGATATAATACATTTTGCTATATGATATGCCCAAATGTGCCAAATAATATTAGAACGTAAATGGATGTCATATTATGACTGATGAATTATGTTATGTTATGAGATGTCATGTTGTACTATGATATGAATATATTCAGCAGTGACATGTTGATGCATGCATGTTACTTATTTATAAATATCAACCAACATCATATATAAAAACAAAGAAAAAAATAAAAAATAAAAAACATCAAGGGTACATGACCAATATCGAACTAAAACATGATTTAAGATGCTGGGTCTCATGCATGTTGTATGTTATGTGAACATGAATCACTTATGTTACGTATGAACACACTCACCACTATACATATGCTTTTATTTCTTTTCAGTGGATTTTTGGCAGATTAAACGTACATTAGCCTATAAATAGGCCTAGGAGTACATATTCGAGTCCATCTAATGGGTTCACGAGCATGTGCGTGAATTGTGTATAAATAAGTACTATGGACTGTGTCAAGGTCATGCTTATCCAAGGCTTGTTGCCCATGGCTGCATGCATGTTAGACGCCAAAATCCTTGCCTCGTACTACTTTACGGCTTTCTTTTACTGCTTTCATATTGTATTATTTCCTTCTTGTTTTCTTTAAGAGTGACGTTTCGGCGAAATCATGGCTACACCTGGTAAACATGAAATGCCTCAAAATGTACTGTAGGAATATGCGATTAGTTGACAAATTCTCCTTACGGGAAAAGTTATATACTGTTTAAGCAATTGTTGTTGTCTTTTTGCTTACATGATATATAACAACACTCTCAATATCTCTCTCATTCTTGCTTTCGAAACTCTTTTTCCAAAATCTCTCCCCCGTTTTCTAAAATTTTCTCTTCAAATCAGGGCCCGAGGTTTGAATACACATTACCCGACCGTAGGCAACGTGACCCAAAGTTGGCTTGACTCACTCAGTCTGAGAGTGAGTGCCCAAAGTTGTCAAATTCTCCTTACGGGAAAAGTTATATATTGTTGCATTTTTCGACAATTATAACAAAGTTATTTACTGAATATTTTTTAATACTTATCTATATCAAATATTTTTTCAAGTAAAAGTAAAAGACCGATATACCCTTGATCGTGACCATTGATTGTTATCCGAACAGATTTAGCAATGTTTTTATTTTTGGGATTAAGTATGGAATGTTTTTAATTAATTACAAATCATTTTAATTAATTTTCTACTTAAATTAGGCATTACACCATATAGTAATGATTATTTTAAAACATAAAGATAAAAGCCGTTACACATTTCCACTCAAATCATTTCCTAAAAATGTACAACGCGCTGTATGCTATAAAACGCTCTCAGGAAGTCGTTCGTTCGTTCATTGCAGGGGAGGTCATGGCCGGCGATTCTAAGAACATCCTCCAGTGTCCTGCTCTTCTCCAGGTTCGTTCCTGTTCCTAATCGAATCTTGTTCGTGATTTTATTTCGATTCTGAGGACTAATTAATAATCTCTGCACTGCGCCTTCATTGTGTTAATTACTCGCGATTGTTCTGAGATAAATTAGTTTAGTCAAACACTGTTCATAAAAATCGCTGAAGATTAGAGAAGTTTAGAGCACTTGTATTTGATGGCAGTATATACTGGAAGAGAATTCGTATCCGAGAGAGCACGAACAGTTGAAGGAACTCAGAGAAACCACGTTAGAAACGTTCAAGTACTGGTGAGATTTCGACTCTTCTTCCGATTTAGATTTTTGCGATTTCAATCCGTTTGGATTCGATTAGGAAAGACTTAGAACGATCGATTAGGCTGGATTGAAGTCGATAATCGTGTAGGAGAGTGTTTAATGATTTTGGAAGGAAATTTGGGGATCGAGTTGCAGGAGCGTGATGAGCGTACCGGCGGATCAAGGATTGTTTCTATCAATGCTTCTGAAACTGATGAACGCAAAGAAAGCGTTAGAGATCGGCGTATTCACTGGCTATTCGCTCCTCACCACTGCGCTAGCACTGCCCGCTGATGGTCAGGTACGGCCTAGATTCCTCCTCAATCTTCATCGTCATCATCGCTGCTTAATCTCCATTCAATTAATTTAAAATATCGTTTCCGCACTAATTCCTTTCCTTTACTTTCCTCAAATGCTTAAATTTAGTTCATCTCTATTAAATAAAGCTTAAAATTATTTAGTTTCAAGTGAATTTTCATCAAAATTCGTTAAAAAAATTTGGAGATTTGAGACTAAAATAAAATATAATTCAAAATACATTTTGTTTGTATTTTCATATATTACTGAGTTAAATAGCAAAAGTTTTATTAATAATGGAGTTTAAATAAGTTATTTAACTTTCAATTTATTATTTAAAATTTACGAATTTAGTGATTAAAGACATGAATTTAAATAGCAAGAACAGAAAAATTTTAAAATATTATATATGAATGAAATAGAAAGGCTAAACATAATTTTGTTTGGATGGTAGATTACAGCCGTTGATGTGAATAGAGATTCATTCGAGATTGGCTTGCCTTTTATAAAAAAAGCTGGAGTTGATCATAAGATCAATTTTGTAGAATCACAGGGAATGCCTGTCCTCAACGACCTCCTCAATGACGTAAGTTAATGATGTTGAAGAAAAATGGCAACAATATTGATTATATGTGTATTGAATGTTAATGTCGTTGTTTTTTTTTTCGATGAATAGGGAAAAGAAGGAGAATTTGATTTTGCATTTGTGGATGCTAATAAAGATGAGTACATTAAATATCACGAATTGCTTTTGAAATTGGTGAAAATCGGCGGTGTAATTGCCTATGACAATACCTTGTGGTTTGGAACAGTGGCACAGAGTGACGACGTCGTTGACGAGAAATTAAAGGCTAGTAGAGGCCATACACGAGAACTCAATGCTTTTCTTGTTAATGACTCGCGCGTTGATATAGCTCTCCTCTCGGTTGGAGATGGTCTCACTCTTTGCCGGCGTATTAAGTAAGCTTCTCATTCTTTTTGTCTTCAAATTTTCTCACATAAGTTATGAATGATACTATTATTGTAAAAAAGTTCTCACTATTAGATTTGCTAAAATTTTAAAGTAAGTTATTTAACATTGACGGACGTCGGAAATACCAAGATCTCAATTTTATAAAAATATCAAAGAAAATATCGTAAATTGTCCACCATAAGAGATAATTCTTGAAAATTTATAAAAGAAAAAATATTTAAATTATTGTGTGTCACTTATTCTAATTTAGTGAACAAGTCAACCATATGGAATTGTAAGTCAAGATTAATTCATTCATATGATTGAGTCTCGGTCACGTTTGAGAGAAGGTATTTTATAACACGTGTGGGAGAAAATGTAATGAAAACAAACCCTAAACCCTAAATGCAAATAAACAACAACCATGCTTTGATAGCATATAACTTGGGTAGGAAAAATTGACGATTAGTCACAACCTTGTGATACATTTTAGAGCATTCTAGCTCTTGCGGGTGTAGACATGATTTTGATGAACATACATGCACCCCATGTTGACACAATTGGTAAAGGCCTAACTATATATGTGAGCTAGTGAAAGGGGTTTGGAACGAAAATGTGGTCATGGACAACACGTCCTAGACAAGAATGATTGGGACATCTGATACACGACCACAAACAACACTCCTTAGATAGGCATGACTATGATCCTCCCCATTTAATTGGTTGACATCCCTATCAATTGACTCTTCACAAACTCAGTGATATAGGATAAGGTTGATTTCAAGTCTCTCGATGCGCTTTCAACTGATCTATGCTTTGAGGAGTCTCTTCCAATCTGTTGAGAACCGTTGAAAATCACTTCTACATTCCTCAACTTTGAGCACATTCTCTTTCAGAACTTCTCTACTTTGTTCGCGATGGAATTCTTCTTTATGGCATGAGGTTGTACCACCTATTTCTGTTTAGTGCGTTCTTGTTGAGGATAGTAATGTTTTAAGTTACTGACATCGACAATAGGTCAAGTCTGCATCCATGGAAGCAATTGAATCCTATATGATGCCTTCCCGACCTTCTAAATGACTTTGACTAGTCCATATTATTTTCATACTAGTTGGTTGTTGATTCTTGCTGCTTTGGAATTAGAGTTGGTTAGACCTTAGCTTAGCTTGATCAAAACTCTCCATTTTGAAATTGTCATGACCGACGCTTTCGACTAGCCCTTCTCTTCATTTTTTCTGGATGATATTTCTGAGTAAACATGAGTTTCTTTGGAGGTTTGTCTTTGTTCCCCCTTCGGAGTTGTTGGCTTGGGAGTTGTTGGCTTGGGGTCTCTCTCCAGCATTTGGGTGACCACAAACAAGCTGGACCCAACCATTGGTAACACGTTCTAGATAAGCATGATATGAACATCCGACACACGGTTGCATGTAACATGCCGTAGATAAGCATGACCATGACACCAGACACAGTTCTGTTTCACTCGATTCATAGTTCGTTTAACTAATTCAACCATTTTTTTTTACTAGTTTGCCCCTTTTAGACCAGTTTAACATTAGTGTTACTTCGATTCTGATTAAATAGAGCCCGATTGAGATTAGTTTCTCTTTTAATTTGGTGGTTTTGGAATGTATGTTAAGGAAATTGGGTAGAGTAAGGGTCCTAAAATATCAATGTTCCTATGTCAGTTGTGAGTGACTTAGATGTTTTAGAGGAAGTACACTACAAGTAATGAACTTATTATTGGACGGTAAGGTAGGTCGGAAGACGAATCATTATATATAGAAATGTATGTTATTATGCAAGTATATTTATGAACATATTATGAGAAGCTAGTAGAATAATAATGTTGATGATGCACGTATGTGATTCATGTCATGATATGATGATATGATACTACTCATACCGACATAAATGCTAGTCACACAAGAAATGATGATATTACACGAATAGGCATATGACAATATGTCACGAGTTGTATCATGCATTATTATTTTAGGTACCTCGTGTACATTTATGTTTACGAGCTATGATAATTAGAGGATGTGAAGAGGTAGTGATGTGACCCCTAATGTTTTTGTAACGATGTGATTACAATTATATTCTTTTTAAATTTGATAATATGACCACAAGAGAGAGCGACGATACGACCGAGACAGAGGAAAGTCATGATGGAAAGTCTTCATGTATTGAACATGCTTCTATGTATTTGCATTTTTCGACCTCAACAAATGGAGTCACTTACTAGGTAATTTTATATTATTTAATCCTTTAAAAAAAATGTTCTGTTTTTCAGATAAAAACAAGGGCAAGCAAAGTGGATAACGATGTCTGTTGCAGAGCCATGAAAATCATATAGATTTTTGCACGGGCTTTCTTTTTTTCTTTTCTATCGTAAACCTTTGAACTAAAGAGTATGTATTTCATTTGAAGAACTTATTTAGTTTCGTTAAACGTTATTTTTCCTTTAAATATCATTATTATATTACGTTTATTTTTTTCTTTCCGGACTTATTTAGTTCGTAAAGTTAATATATTTTTTTTTTTATGAAGTATATAATTTAAATATATTTTTATTAATTTAGTCTATTTTAAAATAAATAAATAAGCTTACATGTAGATACACATAAAAACAAAGAAAAAGAAAAACTATAGCAGACTACACTAAAATATTATTTAAAATGCGAGATCTCGTGCATGTTGTATGTCACACGAGCATATAGTACTTCTTTTATAAATTAAGTACGGACACGCACACCACTAATTATATACTCTTATTTCTTTTTTATTGATTTTCGGCAGCTTGAATGTACATTAGCCCATAATCAGACTTCGGGGTACATATACGAGCCCATCTAGTAGGCTCATGTGCGTGTGCATGAGCTGTGTGTAAATAAGAACTATGCATCCAACCTATCGAGAACGAAAGTAAAACTTAAGGAATAGTTATAAAAAGTAGGTTTCACTGATTATGAAACATGTTTCATATTGTTGCATTTTTGGACCACTACAATGAGGTTATTTACTGAGTATTTTTAAATACTTGACATTTTAGCAATATTTTTATTTTTGTAATCAATATGAAATATTTTTAATTATTATTTTTGTTGTAATATATAATGATTTTAATTAGGCATGGCATGTCATAGTAATGATTATTTTAAAAGAAAAAAATAAAAGTAGTTACGCTTTTCCACTAAAATCACATAACAACTTCCCCTGAAAACGTACAAAGCGCTCTCCACGCGATGGTTTGGCCTATCTTTGCACAAAAGCTGCAATGATATAAGCAACGCGCGGTATGCCATAAAACGCTCACAGGAAGTCCTTTGCTCGTTGCAGAGTAGATCATGGCCTACTGTTCTAAGAAGAACATCCTCCAGTGCCCTGCTCTTCTCCAGGTTCTTTCCCGTTCCTAACTGAATCTTGTTCGTGATTTTATTTCAATTCTGAGGACTAATTAATAATCTCTGCACTGCGCCTTCGTTACGTTAATTACTCGCGATTGTTTTGAGATGAATTAATTTCATCAAACACTGTTCCTAAAAATCGCTGAAGATTAGAGAAGTTTAGAGCGCTTGTATTTGATTGCAGTATATACTGGAAGAGAATTCGTATCCGAGAGAGCACGAACAGTTGAAGGAACTCAGAGAAGCCACGTTAGAAACGTTAAAGTCATGGTGAGATTCCGATTCTTCTTCCGATTTAGATTGTTTTTGCGATTTCAATCCGTTTGGATTCGATTAGGAAAGTTTAGAACGATCGATTCGGCTGGATTGAATTCGGTAATCGTGTAGGAGAGTGTTTAATGATTTTGGAAGGAAATTTGGCGATTGAGTTGCAGGAGCGTGATGAGCGTACCGGCGGATCAAGGATTGTTTCTATCGATGCTTCTGAAACTGATGAACGCGAAGAAAACGATAGAGATCGGCGTATTCACTGGCTATTCGCTCCTAGCCACTGCGCTAGCACTGCCCGCTGATGGTCAGGTAAGGCCTAGAATCCTTCTCAATATTTATATACATTTTTTTTTTTCTTCTTCTCTAACCTAATAATTTTATTATTTTTTAATTTCATTATCTATTCTTATATTTACCATTTTTATTTGTATGGAGTTGTCAATAAATTTATTTATTTTAATATTTTTTTTATCCAAAGATTTTTTCATCGAAAAAACTTTTTTAGAAAAATTTTAAAAAAATAACAACTCGAACAACCTAATCCGAACCAAACCCGAAAATAAAAAGTTGGGTTGGGTTACTAATCTAACCTACAAACTTGTAGGTTGGGTCAAAAAAAATATTTTAACCCAATCTGAACCATGTATACCGAACCATGTATACCGGTAAGGAGGAGTATTACCAAAGTAATAAATTTTATTATTTTGTTTGCTTGTTTGGATGGTAGATTATGGCTGTTGATGTGAACAAAGAATCATTTGAGGTTGGCTTACCATTTATAAAAAAAGCCGGAGTTGATCATAAGATCAATTTTGTAGAAGCACAGGCGTCGGTCTTTCTCAACGACCTCATCAATGATGTAAGTAGTTATTGCACAAGAAAAAAAAAATTTTAAAAGTTGTTCGGTAATAGTATTGATTATCGTTACTGTATATTAATTTCATTAATTCATAGTTCGTATTGATTAAATATTATGTTTTTTTTTTTCTTGTTGAACAGGGAAAAGAAGGAGAATTTGATTTTGTGTTTGTAGATGCTAACAAAGAAGGGTACATTAAATATCACGAATTTCTCTTGAAACTGGTGAAGGTAGGTGGAGTGATTGCATACGACAATACCCTTTGGTTTGGATCAGTGGCACTAAGCGAAGACGACGTTGATGAGAATTTAAAGGTTAATAGAAGTCATTTGCGAGAACTCAATGCTTTTCTTGTTAATGACTCGCGTATCGAGATAGCTCTCCTCTCTATTGGAGATGGTCTCACTCTCTGCAGGCGTATTCAGTAAGTTAATAAAGGAAAAGATTTGCAGAGCTAAGAAAATCATATATATTTTAGTTTTCAGGTAAGAATAATGGAAAGCAGGGTGGATGATGAGCGAAATAAATATATATTTTAGCTTTCGCTCGTTGTTTTTCTTGTCTATCATGAATCTTTAAAATAAAGAGTGTGTGTTTCATTTTGAAGAACTTATTTAGTTTTGTAAACCGTTATTTCTCCTTTAAATGTGAGAATTATGTTATATTAACTTTTTTTAACCATGCTTATCCGTACACAATTAAAATGAGCTTCTGGTTGAGTCGTTACACATGCCTGATTTGGCTTTGATATCTTCACCGTTCACTTAGATTTTTGCTACAATTTCTCCACAATAGCAAGATATGGTCCACTTTGAGCATGAACTCACATGACTTTGTTTTTCAGTTTTATCGAAAGACCTTATTCCAATGTAAATATATTTCTTATTTATAAATCCACTATCAATCCCTTAATTAGCCCCAGATCTACCGCTAGCAGATATTGTTCTCTTTGGCCTTCCCCTCAAGGCTTTTAGGGGAAGGTTTTCACACCCTTGTAAATGGTGGTTTGTTCTTCTCCCAACCAATGTGGGACACCACAATTCACCCCCTTTCAGGGCTAGCGTCCTCGCTGGTACTCTTTCTTTCCTCCAATCGATGTGATCACCTACAAATCCACCCCCTTTGGGGCCAAACGTCCTTACTGGCACACTGTCTCGTGTCTACCCCCTTCGAAGAATAGCGAGAAGGCTGACACATCGTCCGGTGTTTGGCTCTGATACCATTTGTAACAGTCCAGATCCACCGCTAGCAGATATTGTTCTATTTGGGCTTTCCCTTTCGGGCTTCCCCTCAAGGCTTTAAAACACATTTTTTTTACCTATTTAATTTAAGGTCATTACTATATTTTAAATGCTGAGTTTACCTTAAATTGGCGCGACATAAGTTTGTCTTTTATTACCTCATGAATAACAAATATAAGGGAAAGAAAGGAAAAAGAACAACGCTGAAACAAATGTCTTATACTATCCTATGATTTATTATGCGATGACAATTCAACCTATACTATTGATGCAAACGGGAATCAACATAAGCTAACCTATATTATGAATGTGAACGAAATTTAACCTATACTAACCTATACTACGAAATGAAAACAACTATCCTATGCATGTGCCACGATCCCGGGTTGTGCGATGTTGCTGTCGATCTCACATGGGTACCTTGCCTTTATCTGAAAAATATAGTAGCACGAGGCTTGAGTATTTCTAGAATACCCAATGTGACCCCCTATACTAGCACAAGGCTTGAGTATTTCTAGAATACCCAGTGTGACCCCCTATCGGAGTTATGCAACAATCACATGCAATGAGATGATGGGACCTATCTTTCAATCTGTCTTCCTACGACGCTGTTCTAACGGGTAATTTGGACGTGTACCATATACTCTACACACAGCCCATACATGCGGGTATGGGCTCACCAGTCAGTTCGCACACCGCTAAGCCACCTTACTTGTCGAGCGAGCATACACTGGACTCTCTCTAGGTCGGACACCCGTTAGAACTAGTAACCGTCAAGGCAGCGCTATGCAAAACATAACTCATTTTCCTGCCATTGGATGTACGTGTGCGTACCCTCATGAGAGAATAGGGGTATCCCCCAATGTATGAACACACATAATGCATGAGGTCCCCAATATTTCTACTTTTATCATTAATGAATATAACCCCGCTTTCATCTTCATGCTTAACATGTTATTTCTCATTTTTCAGTCTACGTGTCATACCTAATCCTAACGGGGTTACATTTCATGCAATTTATCGTGATTTCATGTCATACATTACACGCTGTTTACATTCAGGATTACAGTACCATTCACGCCAGAATAATCCAGACACATCATAAACGTCATAAACATAGCACATCATATCACCTCAAACAGCATACATTCACATTTCACAATTGTACTTAATCAAGTATAACAGCCTAGCATACAATTTAATGACACGTGCGAATCCATGGGCATGTGCCAACATACAACATACAATGCATAAGCTACGACGGGTGAGCCACTTACTTGGTAGGCCTTAGCCGAAGTACTCACTAAAATATAAACGTAAGCTTCTAGCTCCTCGTATACGTCCTACACTTCCGTTGGTGGTTGGTTCCTATTGGATCATTCGACACCTTCGTTAGTATTTCACACACACAATTAATATCCATCTCGAATTTGTGAAATACGGCCCTAAGATGATCTATTTTACCTTAGACGGGGTCGAAATCAAGTCCGGGAGGGTCAAAACGGTGCCAAAGAGGTTAGAAACCGATTTTTCGAGCCGAATAAGCTGCCAGAGCTGAGAAGTCGCTGCCGAGCCAATCAAACCGCTGGAGCTGAGGGGGTGTCGCGTTGCAGAAATGCCATGTGGCACGACCAAAGGTCGACGCGTGTTCAGCGGTCTTGAGTCGAGGCATGGTTCGTCGGGTCAAGTGCACGGGCTATCGGGCAGTCGGACTCCGGACGCGGTTCTGGTTGTGATGGGCCGCAGGGTTTTGGTTGCGGTGGGCTGGGCTGGGCTCTATCGTCGGGTCGCGGTTTGTTTCAGTGGGCCGAGGATTAAATCGTTGGGCCAAGCGGGTTTTGGATCACAGGTTGGAGATCGAGTCGGACTTCGTCCTCCTCGCCCGATTACCAGCGACACTCTCTCTCTCTTCAGTCACGTCATTCAGATGTCCTTTTTCCTCCTTTTTCCTTTTTTTTCGAGTAATCCCGTTTATGGTATTTGTTTGGTTCATAAAGGCCTAACACTCCCAGATCTGAGAGGGTTCGGAAATCCGACGTTTTGTCTCCCTTACCCGACGGTGTACGATGTGTAAGCAACATTAAAATCTATCCCTGGTGTGTGCAAAGGTCTTTGGGATTATTTTCATTGAGTAAATCGGAAGTTTTCGACGTCGATTTCGTAGGGTTTGGCTTTGTCGGAGCTTCATCGGTTTTCTCACTATCTTTCTCATTTTCTAACTATTTTTCTTTCTTGCAGGTGTCTTGGAGGTGGCAGAAGGTCGGGTTTAGTTTTCGTGTTGACCCCGACGTCGGGCGTTCTTTGTGGATCGTGTGCTAACGAAAACTCCAGTGTTCGCCAGAGTTTTTGGTCCTGCCGACGACTGAGATTTTTTTTTTTTATCTGATTCGTTACATTATCTACTCCTAAAAAGAATTTTCGTCCTCAAAATTCTCGAACTCCCTGATCAATTTGGGATATTTTTCCTTTATTTCCTCCTCTCGTTCCCACGTCGCTTCTTCGATTGGGTGGTTTCGCCACAATACTTTGACGAAACCTATGTTTCTATTACGTAAGGCTTTCACTTCTCAGACTAGGATTTTAATCGGTTTCTCCTGATAACTTAAGTTTTCCTCGATCTTGAGGGTTCTGTAGTTTATAACGTGCGTAGGGTCTGTAATATATTTTCTCAACACGGACACATGAAATACATCGTGTACGCTCGAGAGTGAAGGTGGTAAGGCTAGTTTGTATGCTACTGAACCTATTCTTTCTAGAATTTCAAACGGTTCGATAAAGCGGGAGCTTAGCTTCCCTTTACATCTGAATCTTAGAACGCCTTTCATAGGAGCTACTTTTAGGAACACTGAGTCCCCCTCTTCGAACTCTAAATTCCTACGCCTAACGTCGACATATCTCTTTTGCCTACTTTGTGCGGTACGCATCCTTGCTCTAATTTTCTGTACTACCTCATTGGTGATGTGGACCAGCTCAGGTTCTACCAGTTCTTGTTCTCCTACTTCGTCCCAACACAATGGAGATCTACACCATTTTTCATATAATGCTTCAAACGGTGTCATCCTGATGGTTGCTTAGAAACTATTGTTGTACGAGAATTCCATTAAGTGTAGTTTAGTGTCCCAACTCCCTGTGAAATCCATAACCCATGCCTGAAGCATGTCTTCCATGATTTTGTTTAATCGTTTTGTTTGGCCATCAGTTTGTGGATGGAAGGCAGTGTTAAAGTCGAGGCGGGTACCCAACACTTTTTGGAGTCTGCCAAAAGGCCGACGTAAAACGCGGGTCCCGATCCGACACTATGGATACCGAGACTCCATGCAACCTCACAATTTCTTTCACATATAGTTGAGCCCAGTTGTCTACTGTATATGTTGCCTTACCCGGTAGGAAGTGTGCCGACATTGTCAAACGATCGACAATTATCTAAATTACCGTGTAACCCTTTAGTGTTTTGGGTAGGCCTACTATGAAATCCATAACAATATTTTAACATTTCCATTCTGGTATTACTTAGAGGTTGTAGTAGTTCGGCGGTTTTCTGCCTAGGGGCTTTTACCTATTGGTATACCAGACATTTACTCACGTATTCCGCGATATCCTTTTTCATACTTCGCCACCAGAAATGTTGTTTCAAGTCTTGATACATCTTTGTACCACCTAGATGTATCGAGAAGGGTGAGTTGTGTGCTTCAACTAGGATTTCGTTCTTTATTTCGTTCACCGTTGGGACACATAAACGTCCTTGACATAATAGTCCATCATCTGTTGATTTAGAAAAACCGTCCACTAGGCCAACTTTCAACTGGTCTAGGATTTTGTTTAGGCTTGGGTCCTCATGTTGTGAGTCTATGATCCTCTATCTAAGCGTGGGACGCACTGTCAGTCGGGCTATTTAGGCTATAACCTCCTTG